GAGTATTGATATTCATGACTACTAACCAGTGTTTATTGGTTCTTTCGTTGCCCTCGAAAAAAACGAAAGGGTTTGACTACTACACCTTTCGGCCAGAGATCGTGTTTTGTAAGATCGTCAAGTAGGTGAAAGTCAAAACCTACTTTAAAGGACTTTGCCAGACTTTCGTTTCCGTTGCCTTTCGGAATTTAATGTAGTAGTATTTGTAATGACGAAAGTATTCAAATTAGCATATGTCACGTAGAAATGTTCAGTGATTACAATAAACTTTACCGCAATTTTTTTTATCGAGCGGTTACGAAGATATCGATCTCTAAAGTACCGATAGTAGAGAAGATCGCATTCCCGCAACTCACATAGCAATTGAAATTTTTAACTTCCACGCGGAGAGGTTAAAACCCTATATCTCAGCCAACGTTCGTTCAAAAAAGCTCTAAATTGGCACGATTACTTTTCAGATGCTCTCAAATAGATTGTCATATATTGTATCAAAGTATGAATAAGCTGAATAAGCATGGAAAAGTCTACAAAAATGCTATCTTAAATAATAAAAGGTTAGCAAACACAAATTATATTAAAAACTCTAAAAACGTACAAAAGGAAACTTGGGCAATAATTTCGGCAGGCAATCCCGCAAAGAAACAACGAAATTCGTCAATAACTTCATTAACAGCTACCGATTTCAACGAGTATTTTGGGAGCATTGGTACATTAACTGTTTCCTCAATTGCAGGGGCAGTGAACCTTGTGGATGATATGTAGGTTGATCCAGTTTTCAGGTTTAGAGAAATAACTTTCATTGAATTGCGAGATATCATTTGTGATTTAAAAAACAGTTCAAGCAGGGATGCCTTTTCACTTAACGCTAAACTTATAAAACATATAAAGGATTTGATAGTTGTTCCACTATGTGAACTAATAAATCAATGCATAAAAGTTACAATTTTTCCCGATTGCTTGAAAATCTCCAGGGTTGTTCCGGTCTTTAAAAACGGAGATAATAACGACGCAAGTAATTATAGACTCATATTAATAATACCGATATTGGGTAAGTTGTTTGAAATGGCTCTACACCGGCAATTTTCAAGTCACTTAGACAACAATAATTTGTTGAATCAGTTCCAGTATGGATTCCTGATTTTGGTCGGTCACATACAACGGTGTTTTGAGAACAAATTATTTGCAGAGATTTAACCAAGGCTTTTGACAGCGTCTCCCACGATCTGCTTCTACAGAGGCTCCGCAATTATAACATTACAAATGAAAGCTTACATTTGTTAGGGTCTTATTTGAGAAATCGTTTTCAATATGTTTCTTACAACTCAAAAATATCCGAAAAGCTGTTAGTTGAGTGTGGAGTCCCCAGGGATCGACACTTGGATCTTTACTTTTCATTGTTTTCATGAATGCCCAAGTGTCTATCACGGAATACGAACATCATATTGTATGCTGATGACACGATTACCATCGATATGCACAAACAAACCGATGATCTTAAAAAACAATCCGAGAGGTCACGTACATACACTTGTTTTTGACTGGTTTGCTACAAATTCGCTTAGTGTTAATCAGTCAAAGACACAAACCATACACTTTTCTCTTAATCGAAAACAGCCCAACCATATCGTGACTCCCATAAAATATTTGGGAATTACATTAGATTCAAAATTAACATGGGAGAGTCGCATAATTGAATAGAAAATTGGTGCGAAATTTGGTGGGCGTGGTATCACCTGAGGTGTTAATTATGGTGTATTACGGAAATTTTTATTGTTACATGTCTTATGGTGTCTTGTGTTGGGGACATTCTACGCATGCACACCATATATTCCGAGTTCAAAGAAAATGTGTGCGATTAATGGGTCGTATGGGATTCACGAAGTGCTGTAGGACGAAATTTGTTCGATTAGGTATTATGACCTTTGCGTGCATTTATATTCTTGCATGTCTGATGCACGTGAAGACAAATTTGAGTGAATATAAAAAAAAACAACGATAGTCACCAGTACAACATAAGGAATGGATGCGGCCTTGCTGTCCCTATCAGTCGTAGGTTGAGGGCGCGAGATGGTTGTAATTATCACGGTATCCGATTTTTTAACGCATTGCCTCCTCATATTCAGAATTTGGACATCAAGTGTTTTAAATCTGTTATCAAAAAATTCTTGATTGCTAAAGGCTTCTACAGCTACGACGAATTTGTAAGCAATGATTTTCAATTAATATGAACACTAATTTCTCACCAATATTTACTACTGGCATTCAGTCTCATTCAAAATACAGGGTGCCCATTATGTATGGAATATAGTATATATCTTGGTAGGTATCAACTTTATAAAAAAACATTTTATACAAAAGTTGTTTAATATTTTATTTGCCATAATAAGTCAGCATTCAATTGTTTTTATTTCAGAAAACAAATGAGCAACGAATAACACTTGAAGTCTTTTAAATGGCAATGTCTCTTTCGTTAGGCTCATTTGATAGAGATTTTTTTTCTCTTTACGATGACGTAAAATTTTAGTACCCTTATATCAGAAAATTTTTGAAACAAATGTAATAATTGTTTATTAAGAAAATTTAACTAATAACATTAATCTAGATATCCGAGTCGTCAAGTACCTCGAATTATTGGAGATGTACACTAATTTTTCGTTTATTTGTTTTATTTTGTATGTAAATTTAATTTACAGTAATAATTCGAGGTACTTGACGATCTCGGATATCTAGATTAATGTTATTAATTANGTTAGAACTTTTTTAGGTTCCAGTATTCGTACAGTTTTGAAATTTTGTTAGTATGGGTTGTTCAGTCGGAACATTCGATCTAAAATATTTTCAAGATGGCTGTCATTTCTGGTCTACCGGAAGTAGACCATAACTTCGTTATTTCAAATAGAATGCTATAGTTTTTATTGCACCTTTTAATTGTACGTAAAAAAATATGTTGACTTTCATAAAAGTTAATGGTACCTAGCATTTTTCGTTTTCGTGTTATTTTGATTTTAAGGTTTTTTTTGGGAAATTTCACCATGCTCTTTAAAACCCTATATCCCAGCCAAAAAAATCAGCCGTTCATTCAAAAAAGCTCTAAATTGGCACGATTACTCTTCAGATGCTCTCAAATAGATTGTCATATATTGTATCAGAGTATTTTATACAGGGTGGTCAAAAATTGAATTACCGTTTCTCCATATTCAATGGGGAGAAAGTCGAAAATTTTAAATGGAACGCCCCATATTTTATTAGCCTACACGAAAGGGAATTTAATTCTCTACAATTTATCTATAAACATTCCTATAGTTATTTATTGTAGTTTCTCTCATATTCGTAAATTTATATATAAGACACAGTTTATATTTTTATTAGAAGGCCATGACATTTTGACAGTTTTTTGTTTAATTTATTTCTATTATTATTTGTACTATTAACTACGATTGATAATCTTTTAGTTTACTAGCTTTTACTTACCAAAAATAACAAACAGAAGATCAAATAAATGAAACTATTAAAACAAAAAGTTAATGACAAAAATTAGTTTTGAATAAAAATATAAATTTGTTATTAAATTGAATTTGGAAATGCAATAAAATTCCATAGCTTTCTAATAAAAAAACCTGCATTTCGTGCATGTTTTAATAAATTTCGCAATATGAGGCAAACTACAATAAATAGAATTAAATTCTCTTTCTGATAAGCTAAAAAAATATGGGGAGTTCCATTTAAAATTTTCGACTTTCTCGCCATTAAATATGGAGAAACAGTAATTCAATTTTTGACCATCCTGTATAAGATACTCCGATACAACAAATGACAATCTATTTAACAACATCTGAAGAATAATTGTGCCAAAGTAGATCTTTTTTGAATAAACTTTGGCTGAGATGTGGAGTTTTAAAGAGCATGTTAAAATTTACCAAAAAAAGTTTAAAAAAAAAGTAACTCGAAAACGATAAGTACCAATAACTTTTATCAAAGTCAATCTATTTTTTTACGTACAATTAAACTGTGTAATAAAAACTATAGCATTCCATTCAAAATAGCGAAGTTATGGTCTACTTCCGGTAGACCGGAAGTGGTGGCCATCTTGAAAATATTTTAGAACGAAAGTTCCGAATGAACAACCCATACTACCAAAATTTCAAATCTCTACGAATAGTGGAACCTGAAAAAGTACTAACGAACCAGTTACGTGAGACATCCTGTATAGGGTTGCGTGTCAAAATGAATTTTCTCTGAACTGCCTTCGCGCCACAGTACCAACGCTCTCCCCATGGGAAAGGGCAGAGCTGCATGTGTTTGCTACAGTCAGAGGAGAAAAAAGATGGCATGGCTGAATGGCTTGCCACGCACGAGCGCAGAATAAACTTTCTGCTTAGTACCGTCTTCACTCGGGTGTCGCGTGGCGGCATCAATGAGGAAGATGAACCGAACAAGACCGAACATGTCGGGTTGGTGAAACCACCGGTCATCGGATCTATTTGACTCGATCTTGATTTCTCCTACCCAGGGCCGGCGCGAGGCTTTTTTACGCCCTAGGCCAAACTGTCCTATCACGCCCTTTGATTTGTACAATATACAGCACAGAATACAGAATCATTTTCTATGTAGTCCAATTTAATGAACTAATAGCATAAATGAATAGGTAAAATATGAATAGGAAAAAAAATTTAAAAACTTTATAAAGAATAACATTGTCTAATATTTTATTAATACTAAAACATAATCGTATCGTTACTTCCAACAATATTAACATTTACGTCATAACATTGTAGATGCCGCACATTTCCCTTTGAAGGCAGGCCACAATATTAAAATGCTACTTTGCGTGCTTTCTCCTGTGCAAATAATGAAATTAATTCACAGAGGTCCAGATTGTAAGCCAGTTCTTGCTCTATTGATATTGTCGCTAATCCAACTAATCTTTCTTCAGTCATCGTCAAGCGCAAGTACGCTTTAATTAATTTCAATCTAGAAAAACTGCGCTCTCCACTTGCTACAGAAACAGGGAGAGTTAATAAAATCCTTAACGCGACGTAAATATTAGGAACGCTATTCTGGAGATCACGCCTTAAAATGAAAAGAAGAACTTCAGATGGGCCCATTACTTTTGGAAGTCTTCGAGACACACTTTGAAGTTCCCAGCATAAGTCTTCTCCATCAATGTCTTTACAGGAATTATGCGTTAAGGCACTTTCAAACTTTTTGCATTGCATAAGAATATCAGCTTCGTTTTTATCCTTTAAGTTAAAAATATCGTAAAGAAACCCAAATAAAGCACAATACTCTTGCATTTGATTAAATCTTTCCTGTATTGCATTTACTGCATTATCTATAATCATATAATAGAATGATATTTTATAGTTTTGTTTGGGATCTTGTATTGATACACCTTCGGCTTCATAATCAAACTGTAACTTCCAGCTGTTTCGTACATACAAATATGTCTGCATTCTTATTTTGCAGTAATTTGCTTGTAATGTTGATTTCGAAAAGAATATTGTACCATACCATCTATTGTACTTATACCATCTGCAATTCCTTTTGCTTCTACGCGCACGATGTTTTCCACTGTAACCTGCTGGATTTGGGTCATTATAAATATCCATAAGGGCGTCATATAATTTCGAAATTTGAAATGGCAGCGGCTTCAACGCATCGATACGGCTTTCCCAACGTGTATCACTCAGGGGTTTGATAGTCAAATTTGCTGCATGTTTTTGAAGAATGTTTTGTAGAACCAGCGAAAAAAGTATAAATTTTTTGTACAATGTTAAAAAAAATTGTAGCCTCTACAATCATTCACCACTAAATTCAAGGAATGGGCATTGCATGGAACAAAGAATGCGCGTAGGTTTTTTTCAATGATTTTTCGTTGAACTCCATTTATTTTGCCCTTCATGTTGCTTCCGTTATCGTATCCTTGCCCTCGTAAGTTATCAATTTGTAATCCCATTTGTTCGAGTTCATCCACGATTGTTTTTGATATGAAAGCACCTGTTGTTTCTTGTAGTGGCACAAACCCAAGAAAATGCTCCCGTATGACCACGTCAGGTTGTTGTGTTTCTTCATCCATTACATCAACAAATCTTATTATAATTGTCATTTGTTCCGTATGACTGATGTCAGGAGTACAATCCAATATGATTGAATAATATTTGGCTAATTTAGCACTATTCAAAATTTTTGCTCTTATAGCTCGTGATAGCAGTTGTATAAGTTCATTCTGAATATCCTTGCCGAGATAATGAACAAATAATTTAGCATCTTTAACTTTTTGCAAATGTTCATTCATGACTGGATCGAATAATGCAAGATATTCAATAAATTTTAAATAGTTGCCGTTATTATGGTCATATAATTTATCCTTTGAACCGCGAAAGGCCAAGTTTTGTCCACCCAGAGTTCTCACCAAGGCTATTAAACGATGTAAAATTTGTTTCCAATAGCTCTCCTGTTGTTTAATTTTCTTTTGGTGCATGGCGTCAATGGTTTTATTTTCACGTAGGCGAACTTCTAATTCTCGCCAAACTTGACAATTGTCAATGTGATTTACATTGCGCTCATGGGAAGAGAGGATGGTGCTCATGTTTTTCCAGTCGTTACTTCCTTCTCGGCACAGTGAGGTATATGCAGATTTTTGTTTTTTCTTGAATAACTTGCAGCAAAAACATACAACTGTGTTATTTGATGGAGAATAAACTAACCATTTCCTTGGTATTTTTTCTCCATTACACATTTGTCTATTGAAGTGAACCGTGGTAAACCTACGGTTGTTTTTATCTTTGGGAAACTGACTTGGAATATTTTGTTGAGGGCCGCGTGAGACAATCATTTGTCGCAAATGATCATTTATAGAATCAGGCCAGGTACCAGGATCGTCATAATCAATGGAAACGTATGCCGATGTATTTGATGTTCCTTCATCCTTTAAATTTTCACCGTGTACTGCTTCTGTTCCCTGCTCCGTAGTAGAAGTACTGCATTCACTTGTCTCTGTTAGAATATCCGTATTTTCTTTATCTTCTCTTTGAAGAAAAACAAGGAGAGATCTTTTTAATTTGGCACTTTCTTTCTCTTTTTCCGCTTTCCGTTTTCGGTTTTGCGACCCAGAAGGTCGCTTAGGCTTACTAGCATCAGCCATGACAGTTCTATTGAAAGAATACTTTGATTATTCTTGAAAAGCGAACATCACCTATTGCAAGTGGTATTCATAGAACACTTTTGGAGGAAGACATCGATAGGTTTTTAACAGAACGCAGAACACCGTAAACGACATTGAGAAAAATTTACAAGAATCGATTTTTTAACTGCTTTATCTTACAGCATGTTTTTTTTGTGGGCAAGAGGTTTAATGAGTTTTCATTGAAATAAGACAGTTATTAAAAAACAATTTTTGTGAAATTTTCTCAGTGTTGTTTACGATGTTCTGATGTTTTAAAAATCCGTCGATATTTTAACTAATTTTAACGTCATAATATTTTCACACTTACCAAATGTTTTAAATCACAACACAATAATAAAGGTTTTTTGGAAAAATGCGATCCGACTACACGTAGAACTACTGCTAAATTTTATAGGTTAGCTATTTAATTCTAGTGACATTTCTTGCGTTGACGGTGGTACGTATTACACTGGTATTCCGGGGTTCCCGTGAAAGCAATAGGAAGTAAGGTTATATTTATGTCTACTTCCTTTAGAGACATTAGAGACCATTAGAGAATGTAAAAAAGATCAGGCAATACACTAATTGAAAACCACGTTAAAATTAAAAATATTATACATAGTCCTTATAGTCCGGTCGAGTATGTAATACGTACAATTGTTAAAGGTTGCCTAATACAGTGGTCGCTTTTGTTAAAAATTTGGCCCAATTAAGATTAATTTGGCTTTTTTTCTCGTGCGCCAAAATTTTGCGCCCCCCAACTCGCGCGCCCTAGGCAACCGCCTAAATTTCGCTTATGTCGCGCCGGCCCTGCTCCTACCTACTCCCCAAATCCAGATTCATAGAGAGGAGTTTGGAGAGGACTTAAGACATTAAAGGTAATACAAAGCAACTTGCACCGTGGCAGGGCTGCAAGTGCAGTATTATGCAAGCACTTTGGCATGATGCAAAATACCATTGCCCTGATTCAAGAGTCATGGACTACTAACTCAAATGCTTCTGGTTTCACTCGATCCTGGTTGGCACTCAGGATCGACCGAGACGTACAATCTACGTTCCCAGACACATCTCCGCGTATTTCCTGTCGGAAAAATCAAATCAAGACTCCATTGTAGAGAGGATTCAATGCTTCCTAACAAAGAAGAAAACAATACTGACTCTAGCACCTGTCTACCTGCCAATAGGATTCCAGGTCAGAAATACATTGAAGGCAACGAAGTGGCGGACAAGTTGGCCAAAGAAGAAGCCCTTTATTGGACCCTAACCCGGCTGTGGACTACAAAGGCGGCTGTGGACTACTTTGAGAGGCCTCAAAGGTAGCCTTAGGCTGGAAAGACACAACATTTTCGGTAAAGTTCACTAGACACCTACCGAAATAAAGGAACTAGACTTTGAAGCAATATTAAGGTTCATCATTTGCCCTAAACTTTTGGAGGGCTTAAGTTACAATAGATTTTATAGGTCGAGGTATAATATGTGAGCTTCTGCCTCAGCTGCTAATGATTCATCATTATTAATAAGAAACCTTTCCTTATTGCTCTGTAATCTTAAAATCACTGCCCTGGCAGCACAGCTACTAATAATACATCATTATTAATAAGAAACCTTTACTTATTGCTCTGTAATCTTAGAACCACTCCCTCAGCTTCCACAGACAAATGATTCCCATCTGCTCGAAAAGCTTAATATCTCAATCTAAAGCACTCTTATTGTTAAATTTTTACTCAATATGTTTTAGTAACCCATATAAAGTAGGGTAAGCTCTTAAGCAAGCTGCAAAAAATAAGGAATATGTTAAAACAAATCATATCCAAATAAAATAACAAACCATTTTTCTACTTAGTTGATACAAACTTGAATTTGGCTCATTATGGATTAATGAAACCTAAATAAGCTTCATTATCTCAATTTAGTCTTGAAAAAATACAAAAATTATCTTCAGCACATTCATATTCACTCAAATGTTAACTTTACACATACTTACTGTTAAAATTAACCCCAAAATTTGAATTAAACCAACAATTTTTTCACAAAATTAATTTTTTTTTTAATTAAGATAAGTTTCCAAACCTGTTGTATCTGCAGTTCCATAAATCATCTCAGCATCAGACATTCTTTGTGCTTTGATGTGTTGTTGATTTAAGTACAAATACAAAGAGTGTAAATATCCGACTCCCTTCGAATATTGCGACCAATAAACGTAATAATTTTTAACCAATTGGGTCTCATCGTCCTCCAAAACATGGTCTAATAACTTACTGACATGATCAATTAGGTACTGTTTAGTTTCGGCATACAGCCGATCAGCCATCGAGTCAGGGTGAGCCACACATAACGAATACACATCACTACAACACATCAAAAAATGTATTTTAAATTGAAAATTAATTTGTTTGACTTACGAGAACCGATCGCTCCAAACGGTTCTTGGAACATCGGCTAAAGTAATGACCCCTCGAATGGTTTCTTGGATTGCGCCCCAAATAGCGTTAAAATCGACGCTTTTGGGCTTTAAAGACATCGTAATCACCACCCGTTACTTATTTTCAATATGATACAGCAAATTCTAAAAATAATAAAGACAGTAAAAATTTTTTTCGAGGTTATGTTTTTTTAATCGACCATTTTAAACGAATCTCAACGATTTTTACCTCGGATCGTTTCGTTTATCACCTTTAATGTTGTCCTTTACCTTTTAATCGTTAATTTTCGGGATTATTTCGTGGAAAAACTCTCGAGTACTTGTTAAGAAATTCTCATTTTAACAGACGAGATTTTGATTGACACACACACACATATAAATAATTATTTATTGCACAAAACGAATCTGCGTTGAAAACGATTTTAGGATTAATAATTTTTGATTTTAATAAATTGGGACTTATTAAATCGAATTCGATGGGTTTCGTTATATTAATTTAGCTTAAATTTAGATTAAGTGATGTTTTTGAGGTTATAATGCATGAAGAAATCGACTTTATCGACGATTTATTTTCGGTAAAAGATGGCGCTTTTTAATTGTTTATTTTCTTTATTATTAAAAAGGTTTTATTTAAATCATTTAATTTAAAATAATCATTATTTCAAATTAAAAATAAATTAATTAATTTTTTTTATTGGGAATTCTTCTTTTAAATTTAATTAAAACGATTTTCTAAGATTGAATAGGCAACCCAAATTGCACAAGATTATCACAATAATGTAAACAAATAATTATTTATAATTAATTAATATTATTGCTTCAGGACCTTAAAAGGTCATTTTTTAATCGAAAAAAAAGGATAAATTTTTTTGATGAGGGTGATCAATGATTAATTATCATCGATTATTGTGGATAATCATTGAATTAACGAAAATCATAGGAATTAATGGATTTAAAAGGAAATACCTGAAAAACGAAAGCCGATACAATAAAAAGTGCCTCTTTATTTTCGATGTTAAATTTAATTCTGAATCGAAAAGAAATAATAAAATTTTCTATGTCTCCATTGGTTCTTGAGATATTGCCTACGATAATAATTGATTTAATGAAAATATTCGGAATGAATGGATTTAAAAGGGAATATCTCAAAAACGAAAGCCGATACAATAAAAAGATCCTGATTGTTTTCGATTTTAAATTTAATTCTGAATCGAAAAGGCAGAATAACATTTTTTTTTAATCGCTATTAATTCTTGAGATATTTCGTCCGACAGTTATTGATTTATGGAAAATTTTCGGAATTAATGGATTTAAAAGGGAATATCTCAAAAACGAAAGCCGATACAATAAAAAGTTCCTCTTTATTTTCGATTTTAAATTTAATTCTGAATCGAAAAGGAATAACAACAATTTTATATCTCCATTAGTTCTTGAGATATTTCCTCCGACAATCATCGATTTAACGAAAATCTTCGGAATTAATTGATTTAAAAGGGAATATCTCAAAAACGAAAGCCGATACAATAAAAAGTTCCTCTTTATTTTCGATTTTAAATTTAATTCTGAATCGAAAAGGAATAACAACAATTTTATATCTCCATTAGTTCTTGAGATATTTCCTCCGACAATCATCGATTTAACGAAAATCTTCGGAATTAATTGATTTAAAAGGGAATATCTCAAAAACGAAAGCCGATACAATAAAAAGTTCCTCTTTATTTTCGATTTTAAATTTAATTCTGAATCGAAAAGGAATAACAACAATTTTATATCTCCATTAGTTCTTGAGATATTTCCTCCGACAATCATTGATTTAACGAAAATCTTGGGAATTAATGGATTTAAAAGGGAATATCTCAAAAACGAAAGCCGATACAATAAAAAGTTCATCTTAATTTTCGATTTTAAATTTAATTCTGAATCGAAAAGGAATAACAACAATTTTATATCTCCATTAGTTCTTGAGATATTTCCTCCGACAGTCATTGATTTAACGAAAATCTTGGGAATTAATTGATTTAAAAG